CTAAAAAGTGAGTTAAATAATGCTCAGCAAACCATTGGTCTTAGTCCAGAAGAAGAAACAGAATTATTAGCGATTAACAATTACTTAACTGAACCAGAATTAAGAAGTGAAAATCTTTGGTCGGTTTTCAAGATTGATGCTGATATTACTACTTCTTTAGTTCAAGAATGAAAAAATTATGGTGATAAAAAGCTCTTTAAAAAAGATGAATTAGAACTAAAAAAAATTGCTGATATTCTGCTCAATTTAGAAGATAAAACTACTTTTTTCAATGAACTGAAAGAATATTTTAAAGATAAGCAAGGTGTGCCAACTTTCCCTGTTGACACCACAGATGATTACCAAAAAACAGATTATTTCTTTACTTTATCTCCCCACTATGTAATTGGATTTTCAGCTACTTACCAAATTAAGCATGATAGTGCTAAGAAAAAAGAAATGAAAGACCAAATGACTCTGGCTAAAAATGAGCAAAAACTAGGCTTAGACTTGACTAAATATGGGAATGGAACTGAATTCACTGAAGCTGGAATTATTAAATATCATGCGGAAGAATTAGGTGGAGTGAACCATCACTTTGCTCAACAAGGAAAAGAAACCAGTGTTCCTAAACCAGATTTCTGAAGGAGAAATAATCCTTCTGCTTGAGCCGCAGGAGGAGCATTACTCCTTCTTTTAGCTAGTTTAGGTTGAGCGATTTGAAAAAGAAAACTCCTTGCTCAATGATGAAACTCCCCAGCTGAACTAGAAGAAGAGGATGATGAAGATGATGATTAATAATGATTTGATTGTTTATTCTGCCAGTCTTCTTTTCTTTCTTGGTTCATCATGAGCTGATGTTAAGGTTCATTTATTGCTTATTATTTTCCTTTCTTCTTGGTAAATTTCATAAGTAATACTTTCTTTTCTTAGATAAGTTTCAAGTGTGTAAGTTTCATTTATTTTGAAGATATAAGGTGCAATTTTTTCACCTTGTTCCTTTTTCAAAATACTTCTGATAATACTATAATTCTTAGGTTCCATGGTAGACCTAACGTAAATTAACTTCATATTAACTATTTTTATATATATATAGAGGTAATTCTATATATCACTTGACAGATGGGACATTATAAAACTAATTATGATAATAACTAAATTTTGATCCCTGAAATTTTTGGTAATACCAATGTTCACTTTGTTTGGTTTTGTTACAGCATGCCCCATATATCATACGGAATTCTGATTAATAGTAGAGCAACTTTTACATACACATGAGTTGTGTTAACTTGATTTTTTTTCGAATTTTGATTAGAAGTTAATGATGCATAATAGTAATACACAATAATATTATTAATAAAACAAAAATGCAATGAGTATCTGACTTTGAAACAACATAGAATGACTTTTATGTAGCACATAGGACAGGTTTTAGTGCAGAATTTGTAAGTTTTAAAAATAGAATACTGAAATTCTTTTATTGTTGAATCAAAAAAAATCATCACTAGAGTTTGATGACAATGAAGTTGTCCTTTAAATAACCCAATTTTCGTTTTTCAATTTTTCAAGGTTTATATTAATTCTTTATTGATTATTTCTATTAAAGACAACAAGAATTATCCAAGATCAGAATGTTTGTTTATTGAGTATTGACACATAAAAAACAATTACATTCCAAATAATGTTGTATTGTGGACAATTATTTGTTTGAGTGAAGGAACAATAACAGGTAACAAAATTTTAACCCATGCAATTGCTGATTGGGCCAATCAAAATCGTGAAATTGATAATGTAAAAATAAATGTTGATTGATTCATTTTGTCAACAATCACTTCACCAACAGTTGTTTTGTTAACAAATGGTTCGAATTTAAAAAGTTGGAAGCAATCATATGACAAACCTATGAAATAGTTTAATTCATGATCTGTGAAACATCTGCAAAATTTTCATAACAGAATCTGGCACAAAATTTTGCAGATCACTAATTAAAATTTTCTGAACTCCAACTTTCATCCCCAACGTAACCACCCTTTATGTTGATATAAACTAAAATCGTACTTTTAACACATGATATGAACCTCGAAGTTTAAATATACAAATTTTCAAAGGGAATTTCTTATAAAATATTTTATGTTTATATGTAGGAATCACTGGATTCCTGCCTAAAATTACTATATAAATTTAAAGGTTTGAGTAAGCAACTAAAAATATTTATGATGTAAAAATGGTTGTAGAATTAATTTTATCCAAGAAAAATATAAATATGTTATTTCTATTTAGTTTTTAATAGTTACTCTTTTTAAAATAAGATAAAAATTGTCGTGGTCGTGTAATTTTCTTGACTCACGTTGGTCACGTGAGGTAATGTCAGATTCTCAAAACTCCTGAAAATTATAATGTTTATTATCGCCACAAAAACATATTAATGATCGGCAAATTTTTGCAGTTGTTTCACAGATTACGAATTAATAAATTAAATTGTACTACTCAAAATGGATTTAAAGGGTTGGTTTTTAACTTGGTTGAAGAATAACTCTCTTCCTAACTCTTCGCTTGACCATATCTCTTGATATAATCAAAATAACCCTTAATATAATGAATGTTGACAAAATGATTGTAAACATGACCAATATTTATGATATACAATTAAGACAAAACATGAACAATGTATGAAAAAATCAAACAAATTTATTTAATAAAAACAAAATTTACAACCCAAAAAAAAATTTTTTTTTTCATGTCTAATAAAATTTCCATTGTTGCTGATTCAACATTACCTGAATCATCAACTGTATTTCCAATATTTTTGATATTTTTGATAAGTTTAATCTTTTCATCATACTTTCTTTTAGTGCATTGACATTTTTTTTGATTTCGATTTGAAGATAGCCCAAGATACCAAACATTTAGATTGGCACCTTTGTAGACAATGATTGTGATAACCATGTCCACACATGAATATATACACTACAATTATTCAAATTAATATAGCTAGCATAATCACAATTACGTAGTTGCAAAAAATGTTTGTAGATGGTTTCCTAGAAGTAACAAAGGTGATTGGTTATTCGTAAATAAAGAATGCAATTAACACCATTAGATGAAGTATTAATAATCAAAGGACACTGATTTCATGCTTGATATGGTGCTAGTATCAGATTGTCTCTGGACATGAATGCTATGATAAACGTCAACATTCAACATGAATGCACTTTTTGAATATTTTGCAAGTGCATTCTTTACATATTTCTCATATTTGCTTCTTTTTACAATCTACTGCTCCAAGACTTGTATCTACTGAATCTGAATAGAATGCAAGGTCAAACTTAAAGAGTTAATTTTTGTATTATTTAATGAAGCATGAAGATAACATACAAACACCATTAATCTCTTTCATATGGTCCATTGTTTGTTCATTACATTAAAATGGCCAAGCTGCTAAATAGAGTTAGTCAAAAACCCATTCAAGCATGGTTCTATTTCTTGGAAAAATCTTCGTACTTCATATATAGGACCCTCTTTATTTGAACATTCTCTTTCATAAAAGATTTTGGTCATCATCTTCATGTTTGTTTTATCAACATTTTCAGTTGTTACATTTTATTTCTGTTTTTTTTTTTTTGATCTTATTTCATGTTTGTTTATTAACGTTTTCAGTTGAAACCTTTTTATCATTGATATTAGTAATGGCAACATCTAATCATTATAATCAGGATCTTTTACCACTTCTACCTGTTGCTTCTGCTGTTGCTGTTAATAAATGGAGGAAAACAACTTCAAATGTGTTTGTGAAGAGAAAGTTGACAAGGAAGAAGATAATGCCAAAGACATCCATGAAGAATTTGTTGTAGTTAATGATGATGATAATAATAAACTGTGAAATAATCTTGATTCTATACTCTTCAATCTTTTAGTGATGGAGGCAACTTTTGTGTTTTTTCTAATTTTTTTTTTTTGTGCTGTTGGATGATGATGATGATAAATTCCTTGGATTTAAGAATACCTACTTGTGATAATAGCTTCTCACTTCTCACCAACATACAAACCTTCAGAATCATGAAACATGATACTTTTGCTCATGTAATCTGCTACTGACACCTCCACATGTTTTTTTATCCTTATCTTCTTTCAAAAGCATTGTACACTTGAAATGAAATATTAAACATAATCTATCTTGATAACTTCATAACCTCTTCAGGAAATGTCATTGCCAATTGCAAGGCTCCTTCAGATCATTGATGTGTATGTTGAGTTTGATTGCTTGGTAAACTACTAACTAATAGATAATATGAGAAAGATATAATTAATTAATCATTAATTCATGATTCTTTTAAGAATGAGTGAATTTTAATTAGTGATCAGTGGGGCACATTTGTAACATTTTATAGTAAAAATCATCCAGTTCACCTTACATATCCTATTGCAACATGATGTTTCCACTTGCATTTTTGTAAAACAAACATTTGGATATCAATAAACAGACTGTTATGAGTATTTTTATAAAATAATTTACCAACCATGGAGGAGGTGCAAGTAAGGTTGCGGGAGAAACTCCTCCAGAAATCAATCGACAGAGTTTCGACAGGTTACACATTAATTGTTTATTAG